CCTCAAACAGATTTCTCCCCTGGGTCCTGCCCCATGAGCAACTGGGAGGACACCAGGGCGAGGAAGCAAGGGTCTCAAAAGTCTTACCCACGAAAGCTTATGCTCCCAGTACTTCTGTTAGTCTCAAAGGTGCCACAGGACCCTCTGTTGCTTTTTACAGATTCAGACTAACACGGCTACCCCTCTGACATTTCAATATGGTCATGCTTTGCCTCATACCCCAAAGTCTTTTCTATAGTACCTGGTTCCTCTCAAAATTTTGCTCTCTTCTCCAGCTCTTCCCTCTGGCTACACACTTATGATTCAATGTTTGCTTACATGCCATGCAGTTTGAAGTTTGTATAAATTAAGATTAAACTTTTGTGATGGTTTAAGCATGCCACATTCTTCCCCTCTAATCCCCTGAAATATTTTACATTGCTAAATTAATTGTAACTCCTCCTTCCAAGTTTTATATTTTGTATGGAGCTGTTACCAATATCTTCCTTCCCTAATAATTTTTTTAAATGCCATCAGTTTTTAAGTGAGTTTCTTAAGAATGACTGTCCTTGCTTCACAAAAGGCATCTCCCCTTGCAATTTGATTCAACAGTGAAGTATAACGTTTCCCTCAAAATCTGCAAAAACTTCATCAGCTCTTGTTTCCTCCTTTGCAAAATTCTTGGCCAGGGACAAATTAACTTAGATTCAAAACAGCTACTCAGTTCATGACAGCAGAAAGTTTTATCACTTTCCATATATTTTTGTGTATTAGATATAAACCATTCCCACAATTCCTCAAACAGATTTCTCCCCTGGGTCCTGCCCCATGAGCAACTGGGAGGACACCAGGGCGAGGAAGCAAGGGTCTCAAAAAGAACAGGAGTACTTGTGGCACCTTAGAGACTAACAAGGGTCTCAGTTAACCCATGTCCCAGCCATTTGAGGTGCTGACAGCCGCCGCCGCTGCAACAACATTTGGAATAGCTGCAGTTCATGTTAACAATCTCACTGGTGCATTAGCACCTTACACTGGTATGATAAGACAAATGTAAGAAAAGAGCCAAAGATAAATTCAAAGCCATTAAAAAAAAAAAAACAAAGCAAATCCCTCCCCCAAACAAAATCCCACTACTCTGGAGGAAACTAACTTTATTTTTGCCAAATTCCCATTAGATTTCTAGTGTCCCTGCTTATCCCCAAGGAGTAACCAAGATACACAGCATCCTGACATTACCCAAAGGTAAAACACAAAGATCGGAATTTGTCATATTTGTGATCCACGTACATTTGTGAGGACTTTACCTTTTGTTTTTTAATGTATAAAACGTAATTAGTAGAAACATATCCTCACCACTTTGTACCCCGTATCTGTTTTGCATGCTTTTCTCCCTGAAAACATTAGGATTCCTTGCCAGGACAGCCTGCAGCAAGACTGGTATATCTCCCTCTGGATCATCGCTGCCAAGGTTATCTTTCAATTCTCTGGGATTGAAGAGATAAGCAAACAAAAAAAAGTGAATGTTTTCAAAATATCAGAGGCTACAGGTTAAAGCCACAGACCTGCTCAACAATAAATAGAAAGAAATCTAAAATGTTGTCCCTCTGCGTCTCAATTTGAGATTCTTATTCCTTTTTTCAGCAGAATGGAGGGAAAGTATTTGTATCTGTCTTCATATTAATAATTTCTCCACTATTACCAGTTAGACTAATGATAAAACTTCCCATATTCACTCAGAGCCTCCTCTTCTCCATCGCAGAACAATGCACTAATGGCAAAGCCACCAAGAAAGTGTCATTTTAAGGGTACACTATTAATAAGAAGACAAACCTTATTTCTATCACTCTCAGGTTTGAGCTAACAATTTAAGCATGCTTCCTGTTTAATCAGGGAATTGCCAAATCCTTGACAGGACAGGATTGTCTGTCACCCACCCATGGGAGTTACAGGATTTTCTTTAAGATGTTCCTATGTTTACACTCCCTCCCCCCAGGCTTGGGGGCTTTTTTAAAATATTGGTTTATCTTGGGGAATTGGCTTCACAGTCAACCATAGTAAATTACTAGAACATTTGGAGAGCAGTCTAGGGGACAAAGCCCCGAAGACAAGCCAATTCACGAGACGCAAAAAAAGCTCAGGAAGCATACTTGACAAACAGCTTGAAAATTCTGAGTACAGGAGCCAATCAAAGCAGATGAGTTATAAGAGCCAGAGTAGAAACATAAGCATATTCATAGCAGTGTTAGAGAAATAAATATGTAGCGATTATGCAAATTCCTGTACAATCATTGACAATAATGGATGCGGGCCAGAGTACAGGAATGTTACGGGGTGTCTGATTCCTATAAACAAAGCAGGTCCAGATACTTTGTCCCAATACAGGTGCTCCGTTTGGCCAATTAAGTGGAGGGTAGAGGGCAGTACCTGGGGCTATAAAGGATCAGGGAGAATCTGAGAAGGAGCAGGTCTTTGAAAGAAGCTGGAGGAGGTCCCGAGGGAAAGGCTCAAAGCAGGAGAACAGCAGAGGGGTTTGCTGGCTGGCCTTCCCAAGCTGGAGAGCCAGGGCCAGAGGGCTGAAGGCACAAGAGCAGCAGAGGGAGTTGCCTGCTTACTTCCAAACTGGAGCCAAGGGCCAGAGAGGAGTGAAGGCAGGGAAGCGGCAGAGGGGCTTACCCATTAGCCTGTCTGAGATGAGAATGGAATAAGGGGAGTGATGGACGCTCCCTTGGTGAGGATGAACTCCCAGCAAGAGACCATGGGGGCTCCCACTGGGAAGAGTAGAGTCCCACACCAGTTGGAAGGGCTTAGGTAGATGTCCAGGACAGGACAGGACTGAAGAAAAGTGGTGGTGGAAGATGCTGGAGTGTAGTATGTGCCATGACAATGCATTAGCTGGTGGAGGATTTTAAGGACTATATGTAGTGGGGGGTTATAAATGGACTATGTTTTAGGACTTTTATTATGGACTATTTGCGTGATATTTTTGAAATAAACAGGTCCCAAGGAAGAGCATAACTGAAGCAAGAAACAACTTAGCAGCCCGAGAGGGAAACTGGGATAGTAAACCTAGCATTGGGGCACCTGGGGATATGGGGAAGTTGTTGACAAGAGATATGAAAAAGCAGTATACAAATGATACACCCACAACCTATAAAATTGCAAGTAACAACATATCTGGAGGAAAATATACAGTTATTAATATGTAATTGTCCAGTAACCTTGCACTTTGATTAGCTAAAACTATTTAATGTTGTTCTAATACAAATTGGTACTGCAGTACACAAACTTGACAAAGTACTTGCATATTTTCAATTTTAATAAATAAAACCACTTCTTATACCTATGTTTTCTCATTTTAATCTCACAAAGAATAAACAAGTTATTCTGATACTTTGGTGTGAAGAAATACAAAGTACATACATGTGATCTGTTGACACCTGGTTGAGGCTGTGTACAAGTTGGGAAACCAGATTTTCATCCCTGCAGGCCAGAAGGCAGTTTACCTCTTCTGCTATCCGTCCATTAAAGAGCAGGCTTTTTGTAGTTGTAGCAGGTAAAGGTGATGGAAGAGGCAGCTGGTTCAAAACTACATTAGAAGAAAAAAGTAACTCAAATTATTCCACTGAAAATTAGCCAAGAGACCTGCATCAGTTTATTCTCTAGCATCCTTAAAAAAGAAACATAGTAAGTTTGAAACAAATTGAAGACCTCTGAGTTTCTCCTTAGATCAAGAAAATCTGGAATCATATTTTAAACCAAAAAATTGAATTTGGTCAACTCCACAGATTGTATTATGGGATTATTTTAAATTAAAGACATCATACGATAATGCTTTATTTTTCCAAAAAAATATTTTCTAATAAATCAGAAAACACAATAATTAATATACTAGAACAATTTAGCCTTGGAGCTGAATAAACTATTAAAAAGGGAGAAAAAAGAAAAAACAATACGATTGCACATAATTCAGTGATTGTGTACAGCCTTTGCTTAAAATTTCTTGTTTCATCTGCAAGTTGCAGTGGCGTGGCTCAAGTGTTCAATGTCACTTGTTTCCAAGATGAACGGATCTAAAAATCAACGTGATTTGAGGAAATCTTGATTTAAATAAACTATGTTAATCTTGTTTTGCATTTCTACTTGTTATTTTCCTAAAGGACAGTACCATCTCACTGACTGATACAACCATTAAAACATGTTAATTTGCAATTAAATGTAGTCTTTGAACTAAATTTGGTATTTTTTGTTAACCAGAATGATATGGTATATATCTATACAGAATTATTTCTGCAATTATATATCTTAACATATATTTATTCAGATTTTTAATTTTTACATATTTTAGGTTAATAAGAAATGTATTCATCTTTTTCTATCAAATTAATTTTTACTCATGATTTTGCATCAAGCTGGTTTTGGATGGAAATTTGAATTCCATCAAAAATGTACAAAAACACTATTTTAAAATGGGTTTTTTAATTAGTTAAATCTTAATTACACTGACTACATTAAAAAAAGATCAAAACGTATTTTCCATTTAAAATAAACTCATTTTTAAACAGTGTCTAGTCACCATGTTCTTCAAGTTACTAGAATTAATGGACCTCATCCTCTCCCACCTCATTTTTATTTATATATTGAAGAGGAAAAACAAGCTTTCCTGCTTTTTAATTTCCAATTGGTGTCAACTTTGAACAAACTAGACCAAATGAAGAAAATATTTTGTCTGCATGTGCAGAAAAGGATACTGCCATCAGAAGTTGGTTTAGCACTTCAACAAACTCTGGTTCCAGGTGGTCATCCAGTGACTTCCACGGTTCAGTTGTTTGACTTTCTGTAAAACTTCAACAGCAAACATGTACTGCTTGAATGGTTCACCTCCAGCCCTGAAATTTATTATGATTGGCATGACTGATAGATGATTATTAGATGTTCAGGTCATAGCAGCATCTTCCAGTTCAGTAGTTGGGCAGCTATACTCTGGCACTTTCTCTGTTGAGAATACTGGCAAGAAAATGAGGTAGGGTGAATTTGATCCATCTGCTTCTTCACAGCATTCAATTTAACTCTGCTATTGGATATTTCCTTCTGCGGTGTTCCTTGGAATTTCTTTCCAAATTTCAACAGCCTCAGCAACAGAGCAGCTATTTTTTTGCACTTTGTCCAAAGCTATGGCAATAGGTTTCAAAATATTCAGCATAGCTTCCATGTTTCTCTTTAGTCCAATGTTGACTACTTGGGCTGTGATAGTCCATCTATTTTGTCATGATATTCTTCTCAAATTGCCAGTTTTTAATTAACAGCTCAAAATAATCAACCACTGAATTCCATCATTCATCTTTGGGGAGAATTAGTTTTGATCCTCTGTCTCTTCAGTGAAGTTGAAGCAAAACAATTGTTACAGAAGCTTTTCATAATTTCAACAACATTTTACATTATTGTTAGAGTATTTAAATCTTTGGCTAAAGGATATAACAAATGGATGCAGTGCTCATTTGATGCAAGTTTCAAGTTCACTTCATTATCCTTCTATAGGATTTCTTCTCATCTCAATTTCTCCATATCACTTCTAATTCATTTAAAAATTTTACTATAGTAAGTTTAGGCCTTAACATAGTTTATCATAATTTCAAATTTAATTTTAAACACGTTTAGGTTTTAAAAGAAACAAAATACTGAACAAAGATGTAGAAAAAGTATGACAAAAAACTAAATATAAAAGTACTTACGGTCTGTGAGACTAGCAATCCCTGCAAGAGTAGTGATGGGAACATGAGGCATATCCCCATTCATCCTGAAGCTCTGGGATGGGTGCCTACACAGATATTTTAGTTCAGGTGCCAGCTATCATTTCTTTCCATCTCCCAAGCACTACAAAAAGCAAACAAAAACCAAATAAACAAAATTCAATTTGCTTAAAGCTACTTGGAATTCAAAAGGATTACAAAGTTACAATAAAGCAAGAACAGTTTATATCATCCTTAGTGCACTTTTCTATTCACAGAGAACAACTTTATTAATAAACAGTAAAGAAATACAGATATAAAGGGTAGGAAACCACAAATGAATCTCATCAATACTGGGTTGAACAATTAACATGTGAGCTTATTCAAATGACAGAACAGTGATAAAAAGGCATGCTTCTCCTAAGGATTTTATTACAAAGGAAAATGTTGATCAATTTATACACTAGCAAGCAAATTGTTAACATTTCATTCACTGATATTCTTTTAAGTATCAAACATTTGATGCATAAAAATTGTTATACCTGATCTTGTGAACAAATGACCTAAGATGACTGTAATTGAAAGATTAATGAAAAAAAATCTGTTCACTTTGCACTTGACAGCACTTTATGCCTAGTTAGTTTCAGTATTTACCCTGTATAGTCAGTTTCCAATTTGTGGGGATCTTCCAGACAATAATAGGGTAAAGCAACATTACAAAACAGGAAAGTGTGATGTTTAATTACTAAAGTTAGCAGGGGAACCAAGGGCATATATAGCACCTTAATCTAATTACAAATGAAAAGTTCTAAACACTGTTCTGCTAATGCACATATTCTCTTTCAGTCGAAAACTTCTCCTTAGCAGATCAGTGGTAATGTCTAAGGAACTTCTATACAATTATATATGGTAACATTAGGAGGATAGCTCAATGGATTAGTAAAATCTTTCACTTCTAGGTCACTGCCTCAAATCTAATTCAGATTGGTAAATACTGAAAGTTATCTGAATGCTGTTTGGAGCCTTACATGAAATGAGTTAGTTGTCACAGATGAGGTTGTAGAAAGGTGTCCACTAGTTGGAAATAAAACAAAAAACCCAAAACCATCACTCCGGACATCTCTTGACAATCTAAACATAGACCCCAAAGATTCACTGGGAATGGAAAGTGAGCCAACCTCATATCTCTAGAGATGGTTCTTTCAGATCTGGGTTGAGGCATTTTGCAGGATGCGGAGGGAAGCTTCCACACTCTCTCTCTCTCTCTCTGCGTATTTTATAAATTAATAGAAACCATCTTCAGAGATATCAATCCAGCACTAAAGAACACTAATCCAGTTTACACATTGTTAAGCTGTTTATCACACAGTGAATTCTTTATAACAGCAGCAACCCTAAGCATTCAAGTTTGTCAATATTTACATA